CACACACAGACACACACACACACAGACACACACACACACACAGACACACACACACAGACACACACAGGGACACAGACACGCACACACAGACACACACACACACACACAGACACAGACACACAGACACACACACACACACACACACAGACACACACACACACACACACGGACAGACTCAGGGAGCACTTTCTCCACTGTTGGCTCTTCTTTCCACAGCTCAAGGTCACATCTCTATTTCTGACCCCTCCGACCTGTGTTAGCTTAGCTCAGTGGTCCTCAACCTTCCTAACGACCCTTTAATACAGGTCCTCATGCTGTGGTGAGCCCCGACTTCATCGCTGTAACTTTATCACCGTTAGGAATCACAATGCAAATATCTCTGTCTTCTGACGGTCTTAGGAGACCCCATGAAGAGGTCATGCAACTCCCACGGGGATTATGACCCGTGGGTTGTGAAGCACAGGCTTAGAGCATGGGCTGTTCTCCAGTCTAGTGGTGTGTGCTAACACAGGGACTGAAGTCAGGAAGACCAGTGTTCCAATCTCAGCATCACCATTTCCTGACATTTACTTGTGTGACTTCGTGCGGACCGCCAAGTCTCTCCCAGCCTCAGTTTCCTCATCTGCATGACCATGGTGAGAGCACAGGCACTCGAGAGGCTGAACCAGTGTATAAAACAGGCGTAGAGTGACCGCTCATGTTTATATTTTAAGGTATAAAATTGATTCTTTCAACTCCCTTCTACATAATGTTTCCGGTCTTTGAATGCTAGTGGTATTTTCAGCGTGCAGCTCTCATTTTAATGCTTAGAGGTCTTAGGGGGTGCTAGGCAGCACAAAAACGGAACTGACCCCTCTCCTGCAACCACCAGCTTCCTTGGCCCCATTTCAGACATGAATTTTATTCTGTGGGTAATTAATTCAATTTCCCTCTTTGATCCCAAATCTTTTTTTGTTTTGTTTTGTTTTGTTTTGTATTTGTTTTTTGAGACCGAGCAATTAGTTCTGTAAAAAAGCGGGCTGAGAAGGCCATGGGAGCCCGGCAGTAGGCAGGGTGCCTCCATGGTTCTGCCTCAGTTTCCGCCACGGCTGTGCTCAGTCACTGTGATGTGGAAGTGCTTGGTAAAGTAAACCCTTTCATTTATCACACCAACAGAAATCAAACAGGACGCCTAAAGAAGGCCAGCCTAAAATCAAGTGCAGAGAGAAACCTGGCAGACCGGAGATAAGAAAATGGGAAGAGTGGCTCTCTCCCTGACAGAGATGAGCCCGGAGCCTCCCCTCAAGGCAGCTGCCTGCAGCGTTTCATTGGGCGGGTCAGGAGTTAAAGACTGGGAGATGGGTCAGTTGGTAAAGAACTTACCAAGGGAGAGCAAGGACTGAAGTCTGATCCCCCAGACCCTCCACAAAAACAGCCAGGCTCAGTGGCATGTTCCTGTTATCCCAGTGCCCGGGAAGGGGGGACAGGAGGACCCCAGCCAGCCCTGAGAAATGACACACACCTGAAGTTGATCTCTGGCCTACGTCTACACACACACACACACACACACACACACACCTACCCACATACAGTTTCCCCCAAGAAAACACAAATGTACACGCATACACCAAAAAAAAAGTAAGGGGCAGATGTCACACCCCACAATGAGGACCCTCCAGTGCACTCCATAGCTAGATCAAAATTAAAAGAAACCAGCGCCAGCCTGTCTGTACAGATAAAGCAACGCAGAGTGCCTGTATCAAAGGGCAACATTAAAACTGAGCCAATGGCTTGGCCTCTCGGAGCCTGTGATTCCTTCCTAGCCCAGAGCAATCAAAGCGGAAAGGTAAAGTTAGAGACTAGTCACCCTGTCTTAGACACACCTGGGTTCTAGGCCACACAGAATGAACCAAATAACACTGAGGTTAAATACTTCCTCCTTGTTTGGTCCAAATGATGGACTCTCTGTTCCTACCCAAGCCTGTTGCTGTACTGTTCCTGTGGAATGTATGCAATTTACCCTTGTTCATTCAAATGCTGATTTCTCCACCCCACTATCTGGTTTCAGTCTGGACAGTGCCTTGTGATGCTTATTCTATGCATCACCTGTCTCAAGTTTGTGTAAACATGCCTCCAGTTGTTCCCTGTATTTTCAATAAAACAACCAGCCAATGCTGAGCAACGGAGAGAATAGGGTGGAACATCCTGGTCCAGAGGGCAGGAGAAGGAAGCGAGTGTGAGGAGTGGGAGAGGAGAGATCAGCAGGAGAGAACCATGAGGAGAGATGAACGATACCACTAAAAGCAAGTATAATGTGGGAGATCTGAATGGGAGGAAACTATGCAGGCTTTGAGGTTTAGGATGGAGTAACGATTGCCCAGCATTGTGCTCTAGGTTAATTAAATAAATCCTAGTCTCCGTGTGGTCATTTGGGTATGCAGCTGGTTTAGGAATAACCACCATTAACTAAAAGATGAATCAATGATAAATATAAATAATGGACAACACAAGCTTCATACCTCCCTGGGAGGAGGGGAATCCCTTTCCCATCAGTAAAACCAGGAAGAGCAAAGTCTCTGGGCCCCAGGTCTTCCTCTACCTCAGTGAGCTGTATTGTTTCCCGCTTTTCTACTGTTATTTTGACTATGTGGGTTTTGTTTGTTTGTTTGGTTAGTTTGGTTTTTCTGTGCAGCCTTGGCTGTCCTGGACTCACTTTTTTAGACCAGGCTGGCCTCGAACTCACAGAGCTCCACCTGCCTCTGTCTTCCTGAGTGCTGGAGTATATGTTTTTAATCTAGATCTTCCTGCCCTATCCGTACCATTAAACTCAGAACACTCTTAATCCTTGTAACTCAAATAATTTCTCCACTTTCCATTTGTCTGGTTTTGAATTCCTTTGTCAGTGAGATGGAGAACTGACAACGGGCTCTGTGTGGCTCTGTGTGGCTCTGTGAGGCTCTGTGTGGCACTGTGAGGCACTGTGAGGTTCTGTGTGGCTCTGTGAGGTTCTGTGTG